CTATTTCAGACCAAGCTTATTTTATGAAAATGGAGGTTGTAGCTGTTAATGTCAAACCTTATAAATGATATGCTTGATCTTCCGAGATATTGTTTTTTTTTGGAGGGGGGGATGAATCTCAGGCACTACCACATCAAACTTTAGTTTAATATCTGTAACTTGACTGAGCTACGGCCATTTCTGTGTCTAACTGTGTCGGCCATCTTGAATTGGGTTAACTCGAAAGTCAGTCAGTTAAGATGTACATCCAAAGATTACTTTTTGACAGTTTTGTTAACATCTATCTAGTAATTCATGAGATATTTTGCTAACAAACACATAGTGTTGAGCCCAACAGTTAGTGACAAAGTTTATGGCTTGGTGTGGCGTGAAAAAAAAATCTCGGCTAATTCCAAACTGAATTTTAGCTGTAAATTTGACCAAGTTGTGGCTGTTTTTCTGTTTTCTGAGGTCAGTTGGCTGCGACTGATAAAACTATGTGGTTACATTTTCTATTTTTCTGCTAAATGTGATTCAAAGCCAAAATAATTCAAGTATTTTTAACTTTGAAAACGCAACAGGCACTTCTGCTTCTTATTCTCGTTTTTGATGCTCACTACACTTGTGTGTTTCTGTTACTGCATCGACTTCCTACTGATTCAGTCAGATACAACAAAACTTATATTAAATGTGGTGGTTCTGCAGGTATAATGAGTTAGCTTGCACAGATGTACTGAACACTGTTTATTAGCATGCAAAATCTCCCCCTTTCCTTTATCTCTGGGTCCCCGCCCCAACCAGTGTCGACCTGAAGCCACAATCTCACTTCGCTGCACCAAAACGTCAAACAGCGTTCGCGACGGAGTTGCCAGAATGTCTGGAAACGTACGTGGAGATTCTCAATTTCTCCATGCGAGTCGCACATTTGTGTTGCAAATTTCCCAAAACAAATATTCTAAAAGAGTCATCGAGTGGAGGTGATTGGAACCCATCTTTACGAGGTGGGGGTGACTATTGTGATTGGTTGGAGTTGTTTTATCGCACATAAAGAGCCATAAAGAATGGAGCAACGTTGCGTCACTTCCTTCTCCTAAAATCGTCTTCGTCTAAAATAAAATAATACCGTCGTTGTGCTTAGTCTTCCTGCTGCCCGTGAATGAAGCCTTTATTTTAAAACTGAGGGTTTTGACCCAAAGGCAGCAGGAGGGTTCCTAAGTGCTGAGTTGCATTTTGCCACATCTGTATCTACGGTTTAACCCACATTACAAAATGCTTCCAACGATTCATTTTATGACACATCAGGCTGCTGGGTAGGCGTCGTTTGTCCAATCTTAATCCTAATTTTTTAACATTTGTTTAAATAACATTGCTGATCATTGATTCAGTAATAAACTGCTTGTCTGACTGTAATTTTGGGGCACTTAAAACTCGTCTAAACTAAACTGTAGTCCTATTTGAAGCAGTATTTTAAACAAATTAGGATTTTCTTTCACTGCCATTCAAAGTGAAGAGGTTGTTGTCCCTAAAGAGAGGTGGTAACATCGCAGAGAAACCAAGTATCTGGAGGTGTTGCTACCCTTTAAAGAAAACATCTGGATGTGGAGACGATTCGGTGTTTATATGGTCCAGCTTTCTCATCAGTCATAAGTGTCCTCTCAGATTCTCAAGACACTCAGTGGTTGGACATAATTAATGGCATGAGTTTTTGAGAAATTCAAATGATGTTTGTGCAACGTGGACAAATATCTAGTAAATAAAATATCAGGGAGACCGCAAATGAACATTGGTGCACTTTCTCTCTACTTTGGTGCAATTTTCAGTCTCTAACTAATCTCAAACTTTCACAGCCAAGTGAGATTCCGGCTTAAGATCCCAACTCTGCTCTGTCAGGTAAGGTACCTCGTATACAGGCTCCTCCTATCAGGAAAACACAAATGAGACACGACATAAAACAAGAACAAGAACAAAAGGTGAGAACAGCAACACAACACAGCAACAACACACACAACAGAAGCTTCGCCACGACATACAACACAAAAACGGCATGCTTAACAGACACACA